AAAAAAAAATTTCGGTATATTAGAAGACATAATTTTTTCGGTATAAAATTTCACGTCCTCGTTTTTTTTTGGTATATTTTTGCATATATTTCCAGTAAAAAAAAAGACATAATTTTTTATTGTTCAGTATATGTTGTGTGTATATGGAGTATATGTTCAACATATTAGAAGATTTGTTTGTATATGGAATATAAGTAAATGTTATAATATGTTTCTATATACTTTTATGTGTAAAAGTAAAAAAAAATATATAATTTTTTTGTGGAAGACTTGTTTTTTATTGCACATATACTGAATATGTACTAACATAAACTCAAAATATACCACCTGGCGGCTGCGTGAATTATAATATTGCAACATACACTGAATATATACTAACATAAACTCAAAATATACTACCCGGCGGCTGCTTGAATTACAATGTACAAATTGCGTGAATTAAGGAATTAATAAATGAATGAGCTATTATTTTTCTTTTCTCTCTCTTAATCAAGTCCACAAAAAGGGGATGGATGTTGAATATATATGGTAACTGCTATTGATGCAATCTCATAAATAAATTAGCTTCATTAGGTATAATTGAAAATACTTTCATATGAAGGTAAATTTGAAAATATTTGTATATCTTAGAGGAGGACTAAAAATTTCCCTTTTAAACTAACCACAAGACATTAAAGATATTGCATTCCTACAAGGGGAAGAATTTTATTTGCATGAATACCTAAAAAAATGCATTTATTATGGATGAATTAAAAAAAAACATCAATTACCAAAGTAACAACTTCCCTACATCATGCTATTGATTATTGAACTAAAAGAAAAGGAAAGTCATTATTTTCTACTATTTAGGAAGACGTTCATATAAAATGGAAAGGATTATGAAATTTACAGGACAAACACGATCACAAAAATGAATGCATCTTGCTGCTATAAACGCACGTCGAAAAAATATACATAATATATACATAAGATATACAGAAAAATATACAAGTCCAGAAAATATACGAAACACACCTGGAAATTTTTTCTTTTCGTAATCTTTTTTTGTTTACTTTTAGTGTTATTTACATCTTGTGTGTGTTTTTTTTTTGTAAATTTATGATATATTTTCTGGTTTAATACATGCAACATACTACATACACGATCAGACTTATATAAAGAAGATATACTCATTATATACAGACAACATAAATACAAAAATACAAGATAAATCAATCTTGTCATATATACAAAATATATACAAAAGATATACAGAAAACACATTAGATTGTCGATTGTGCTTACGAGAATATATACATAACAAAATTCATCTTCTTCACGGCCTCGGGCGTTTTGACCTTGCTTAGCATCTTTTCTTTGTCTTCTTCTTCGCCTTCTCCACGTAGGATTTTCGGATCGCCGATTTTTTTCGGCGGTCGTGCCGATTTTTTTCGAAAGAATCGAGATTTTCACGGAGGCCGGAATTTTGTACGAGCTCTTGACCTTGGCAATCTTTTCCACTCTGACGAGCTTCTACAATTGTACGAACATGATTTTCTGGAAGTTTGTTGGGAGCGATTTCTCCCCGTCAGCAGGTTGTCGAGGAGCCGCGAACACAAAAA